AAGGAGAGAAACAATGAATCCAGATCAGTACCAGGAGCGCGCGTAGACGCAACAGAGGTTAGCTCCCTCGATTCTAGATCCCATTCTGAATTGAGCCGAACGATGCTAATCCAAGACCGTGGCACCGCCGACGCTGCATCTAAGCCCTCGAAACCCTCCCCTCGTCCACTCACCTATGCCAACTCTGCAATTCATGGCAAGAAGAGCGGAGATCCCTCCTTCTCCTCTTCGTCTTCGTCCTGCAGCACTTACAAACTCATCGCCCTTTTGATATTCCTAGCCTCCATTGCTGCTCTCTTTTTCCTCCGTGGCACTATCGATGGAGCTGCTCTCCTTTGCCTTGACCGCCGACCGACTCGCCCTCTCCCCGTCCGCATAAGTTATCCCGAGATCTCCTGGTCCACCATCCCCGCACTCCGCCCTGTTGACGATGCCGCCGTCGCTCCGTTTGCCACCTTTCGCTCAGAGCGCTGGATCGTTGTCTCCGTGTCCACCCCTCCCACTGATTCGCTCCGTCTCCTAGTTAAAACCCGCGGCTGGCAGCTTCTCGCCGTCGGTAACTCCCATACCCCCGCCGACTGGTCTCTTAAAGGCGCTATATTTCTCTCCCTTGATCTCCAGTCCAGCCTCGGCTTCCGCACCGTCGACTTCTTACCTTACGCCTCATATGTCCGCAAATCCATCGGGTACCTCTTCGCTATCCAGCATGGTGCGAAGATTATCTACGACGCCGACGATCGGTCCGAGATACTTAGCGGCGACCTCTCCAAGCACTTTGACCTCGATCTTGGCGAAGCCACTGGTTCCGCCTCTGGTTACCCTGTCCTCCTCCAATACTGCCGCACCGCCAATAAGAACCGAACCGTCGTAAACCCCTACGTGCACTTTGGCCAGCGTTCGGTGTGGCCGAGGGGTCTTCCACTTGAGAGCATCAGGGAGGTCAGTCATGAAGAGTTCTACTCGGAGATCCGAGGCGGTGGGCAATTTATCCAACAAGGGCTCTCTAATGGTCTCCCAGACGTCGACTCCGTGTTCTATTTCACCCGCAAGTCATCGCGCTCAGAGCCTTACGACATTCTTTTCGACGAGGATGCGCCGAAGGTTGCGCTGCCACAGGGCTTAATGGTTCCTGTCAATTCCTTTAACACAATTTTCCACTCCCAGTCTTTCTGGGGCCTTATGCTCCCTGTCTCAGTAAGCTCCATGGCTTCCGATGTCATCAGGGGTTATTTTGCCCAGAGGATTCTGTGGGAAATTGGAGGCTATGTAGCAGTCTATCCACCGACTATTCACCGACAGGATAGGGCGGAGGCATACCCATTTTCAGAGGAGAAAGATCTTCATGTCAATGTTGCTAGGCTGATTGAATTTTTGGTCTCTTGGAGATCAACCAAGCCAACTATTTTTGAGAGAATTTTGGACTTGAGCTATGCTATGGCAAAGGAAGGCTTTTGGTCAGAGATGGATGTGCAGCTTACAGCTGCCTGGCTGCGGGATTTGATTTCTATTGGGTATCAGCAACCAAGGATGGTGTCACTGGCGCTGGATGGGGTGAAGGAGGCTAGTAGAGATCGGAGGGAGTTTGTGCCTCGGAAAATTTCTTCGATTCATCTTGGGGTGGATGAATCTGGCAGTGTAAATTATGAGATTGGGAATCTTATAAGGTGGAGGAGGAACTTTGGGAATGTGGTGCTCATTATGTACTGCAGTGGTCCAGTGGAACGCACAGCTCTTGAATGGAGGTTGTTATATGGGAGGATTTTTAAAACTGTAGTCATTCTGTCAGAACACAATAGCACTGTTTTGGCTGTAGAATACGGAGAGCTATCAACAGTTTACAAGTAAGTTGCCTGCGATTATCTTTTTCTTGTATCATAGGAACACTAAATTTTACTTGGTAGCTAAATTCCTGTATTTGATACTTAGTTTTAATATAATTTAAATGGTATATTTTGAATTATTATATGTTTCTTTTATACGCACATAATCATCATCTCTTTACTTCAGTTCCTGTTTTGCATCTATTGAGGTAAGGGCTGCTCATACTCCTTGGTACTTAAACTTTGAACTTTTT